GTATTAGAAATTGGGGAGGAGTTAGTATTGTAAATGTGACATGTGAACGAGTATGTATAGTATCACATGGAAGTATAGTATCACATGGAAGCATAGTTCCAGAACCTTCCACAATAGACCAGAAAGACTCTCCAAATACTCTTTTCTTCTCTGTCACCCACCTCTTCACAACACTGTTGTTGCTATTTTCAGAGGCCATAAAGAGTCTAGTTTTTTCCTTTACTCATACAGATTGGAGAGCAAGAGTTCCTCGAGGAGCCCTCTGTCCCTTGTCTGTTTTGTAGCACTGCCTAATTATAAGCTCCTAGTGATCACAAACATTAAAATCTGTTCATCATTACACAGCTACACTTAACAAACATTTGTGATAATAGCATTTAAAATGATGATTACTGAAACTAATGTTAATAATGATAAGATTGATACTTTATTTTACAAATATGGATTTATCGGTCCAACCTGTAATGCATCATCAAATAAGTTCGTATTTGTATAAGTAAAAACTACATTTTTTCACAACAAAAATACAAATGGTAGAACTCCTACTCTGATATTTAGTCTTTAGTTCTGTTGAATATAGTTATGAGATTGAAATCAAAGCTAGTAGGACATAGGCTAGTTAATGGTGAGCACTTTCCAGCTGAGTATGAAACACAGGTTACAGAGAAGTTAGTGGAAATTCTTTCCTTGGGGGTTATGAGGTCCAACAGAGCTCCCCTTCTATATATTATGGGAATGAGCTGGATGGGTTTCAAAAGCTTAGTCCAAATCAAATTTTTGATTAACTGACCATTGGATCTGCCTGCTACATCAGGCAATATTGGACCCGACATCCTCATCTTCATAAGGGAGACATTTGAAAATACTAATTCATCTATTTCAGAACTAAGAAGAACTTCTGAGATTATCTGGCCCCTTGCCCTTATTTTACAAATGGGGAGACCAGCCTCGTGAGGAAAAGTGACACAAACATGGTCATAAACTGTTAGGGGCAGAGCTGGGTTTAAACACAGAGAGTTTTCTTTTCTCCTAACGGAGTCTCTAACAGCATCCCTGTGATCAGAGCCTTGCATCCAAAAAAGAGGCTGATTCCCACACCCTCAGGCAGCCCCAAGGTTGTAACTTAACCTGCATAATTTGAATATCCATTCCAGAGGGGGAAAACATTTAAAAGATAAAGGACCTCTTTAAAATAGTTTCTTCCCAATACATTTTTTTTTTCATAATTATAGTTTTAAGAACTTATGGTGATGGCAGAGCTGGCTACTTAAGAAAAATTAGGAGTCTCATTTGGCAGGAAAGGATTTCCCAGGGGGATAACATGCTGTCATTTGGAGGGGGGGTGGCTAAAAAGAAACTGTGTACAGACAGCTACACATTGTCTTGATGCACTGCAAGCCTGATTCACTTATTATGGCCAAAGCCAGATATTTTAATTAAAAACACTACGTATGCCATTAAATATGTTGTTCCCCCTCCAGTCCCAAGACATTATAGTTCTAGGAGATACAAACAAATGAATGCATTGCAGATATACATGGAAACCGCCACCTACTGAGTCAAAACCAGCGGGTTCCCAAATTCCAGTCCCTGAGTGCCTCCCCATCAAAATGTTCTTTGCAAGCAGACTGTTCCCTCCGTAATTTTCACAGTTTATGGCAGTTGTACTCACCGGAGAAGGAGGGCCATGGGGAGAGCAAGAGAAAGAGAAACATACCACCACCTCAATTTATGAGCAGATCCTATGATTTCACAAATAACCTCTGTGATAAATAAAGTGCTGTGGCCGCACATGGGACTGTACTCCTCCACTCCCCTTCTTATTAATGTTATTTGTTTGTTTGTTTATTGAGCACAAAAGTTCCATTTGGGGGATTTTCATTTCCCAACTGTGAGCTCAGCTTGGGTGAGAGTCTCAACAGAGGCAACATTTGCTGAATTTATGCAATTGCAGGCAGTTCAGGTTTAAAAATTTCAGCCTGATTTTAACCATTGGTAGCCAGACCACCTTTCTCCCCAGAGGAGCACCAGCAGCTGGATTTCATTTGGGGCTGCCAGGCCATCTCCGTGCAGTTCTGGAGCAGCCCTCAGACTGAGTGCCTTCCCTTTAAGGGTTTTATTCAAGGAGACAGCTCCTCACACGTTGGCACTCTAATCACCTCAAGTAGCCAAGATATCAGGGCGGGGTGGGCTGAGTGGGTCCTCCTGCAAAGTCCAAATTTAGCTTGACTGAGGTTATCCTTAGGTCTCTTGACCCCAGCGCTCTGACAGAACAGGGCTGCCAGGAACTTTATAACGACAGCGAGTTTTGTTATGATGTTTAGGGAGAAATTTTCTGCAGGGGCAGGCGGAGAAGACCCTAAGTGATATGGAGTGATGTCAGCTTTCGTTAGAGCAGCAGACAGCATTAGAATATCCTTGGCATAATATGGCACTGGTATCTCTGTCAGCATCTCTGTTTTCTGTCACCACACACAATCCTGGGCCTGTCTCAAGCCCTGACAGTGTCTTTTCAGATCAGGTTATTGCCAGCGCAGAGACTAGCTCTGCTCCCCACTACACAGACCCTTTGTTTGAAGTCTGCCCTTTTGTCATTAATGCACTTGATGTCTATTTAAATCTGACGGTGAGTGTGGTATCCGTTTTCCCATCAAGAGATCATTGACAATATTAATACCTCATGTCCTTGCCTCATTTCCCAAGCTCTGACACCTCACTGCAGTCTCCTGCATTCATCAAACAGCGCTCTCTCACCAGGATATCTATAAAGAGTCTTGCTTCCAGGCCTAAAGGAACAGGGCAGGCTTTAAAACAGACTTTTATCAATGCCGACCAGAAAGAAGGCCTGGGGAACGTGGCTCAGACACTTCACCTCTTTCTTGTTAGGGCCCATGTTCCAGGATATACGGCCTATTTCCAGAATATTTCCAGCCTATGTCCAGGTTACATTTAGGCAAGATATGGAGATGATGTTTATCATGGAGAACGGGTAGAGAAAAGAAATTCAATCTTGAATGTACTGGGAAGTTTATAGCGGAGAATGAATGTACCCACTGGTGGGTGGTGTGTGTGCGTGTCTGACTTTCATTCTTTCACTTAAGAGAAAGGCTGTTCTTTATGATATGTGACAGCCCTTTCCATTCCTTTTTGTAAAAATTCGTGTAGTCTTGGTACTGTAGAAAGAAATTAACATCCCCCTGCCTCATTCTCTCAGTTTCTTGAAGTTGTATTTGAATCAATTATGTTTGAGGAAGCATCTTGTAGATTTTCAGAAACCTCTAAGCACTCCCAACCAGACCTGTAGGAGATATGGTTGTTGGACCAGATCCTGGAGAGCCGAGCCCACAGAACGGTTCTGGCATTGGTGACAATATTAGTCCAACCCCAGGTGCTACATAATTCAGCACAAAAAGGGAACAGCTCACTGCCAACAGCCAGAAGAATCATTTTAGTCTGAAGAAAGGTCTCAGGGAGGTTTCATCCAAGCTCAGTGTTTCCAGGCACCAGACCAAAACTCAAAAACAGTAATTGAGGATGGGTGGCCAAGGAGAAAGCATAGCCAAGGGAGAAGTCTGGTCCACAGCAAACTTACTCATAGGAGCATGGCAGAAAAGAGAAGTAATGAGGGCATGCCCAGTTAGAGTCTGTGGAACAATGTCATCCTCTCCCTATTGCTAATTCTTGGAGAGTCTGTAACCCCAGCAATCCCCAGCTTCCTCCTATGCCATCCAAACCAAGGAGCATCTACCCTGTCCTTAAAAGTTTCTAAGAGTCACGTGTAGTCTTTATTTAAGAATAAGGCTTAAAGTTCTGCGGTGGAGAAATATCTCTTGTACAATCACAAAAGTATTTACTACTTAGAACATCTGATATGAAGAACCTGGATTATTTCAAGTGCTAATTTATCCCAGATGAAAAATAGTTGGTGATTATTGGTTTCCTACTATCAAACTGATGGGGGGAAAAATCCTCCATATAGATAGCTCTCTTTATAGGCAGATTTGAGGCTCATAAATTAATGTTTTGTGGACATCTAGTTTCTCGTTTTTTTTTCCCGGTTATGCATGCATCAGAGACTCAAGTGCTATTAATAAGACAACTCTGTGAAGCTGAATTTTAGCTTTTCTAAAAGTAGAAGAAAATACAACGTTGTAAAAATCAAATTTTTATTTTAAATATTGTCTTACAACTTATTTTTCCTTAATAATCCCACAAAGCTTTCATAATAACTATGGCAGGTGACTTCGTATAGATATTTAGAATAAATATTGAGTTGATTAAAAGATTTGACCCAATTCTAGGGGCATTTTTCATAAGTAAGTCCTTCTATAATTTTCTTGAATGAGAAGAAAGCAGTATAGGAAGCCACATAATAAGTTAAAATAAAACTGAAGATGAAAATTAAATGCATTCCAACCTGAGAATACAGTTCAGGATGCCTATGAGAAAAAGCCATTTAATGTTGGAGACTCTTGTTACTTTCCAAGTGGCATTTTGTCAACACCACCGCTCTCCTTAATCATCCGTTATGTGTCTGATGCCTCTTGGGATTTGAAAGGTTCTTTCTGGAAGTTAACAAAGTGGTTCATGATAAAGGACTTGGAAATATTCACATTCTGGGAAGACTGTTCCACATTATTTGCTTGAGCTGGGGCCATGTTAAAACTCTTAATTTTCTATTTTTAGAAATTGCTAAGGGGACCTGGAGAAAGGAGAAGGTTAGGCTTTATTTTGAGGAGTAATTGGCCAAACTAGAAAAGTCTCTGGAATATGAAGAGACATCATGCAGGAACCATGTTATTTCTAGGAGCCTGTGCTCTGGTGACATTTTATTTGAATATCAAATCTGAGGACAAGAAAGTAGGGTCTCTCTCTCTGAGACTTAATTCATTTGCTGCCACCCATTGGTTTTAAGCTTGTGTTATGTTTCTGCTTTACAGAACCAATTGGTCCTTGCTATAATTGTGGTTCGTAATGATGTGTTTCCTTTTATTTTTCAGGTGTCCTGGGGAAATGTCGCTATGTTTACTATGGGAAAAACTCAGAGGGCAACAGGTTTATCCGAGATGATCAGCTCTGAAGGCAAGTTCTGTATGCCTTAACCTCTGTCGTGAGAATAAAAGAAAAAGAGAAAGTGAAAATAAAGAAAAGCTAAAGAAAAAAAAATGGCCTGCATTGCATCCCTGTGGGAAGGCTATGACTTTAGCTTTTGGTACCTTCTGTTGACTTTGCCTGTCAACATCATCTTTCTGCCTTAGACTGAGTGGTCACATAGAGATTGACATGATTGCCCTTAAGCAGGTCTCATCTACCAAGGTGACAGACAGCAGCGGCAAAGCACCAGGGCTGACAAGATGAACACCATGATAGATTGCCTGGCCCCTCCACTGCTCACAGGGGAGCAGAGGTCACACCTGGGGCCTCTCTGAGCACGCTCAGTGGCTATAGCCAAGTGAGAGAGACTATGTCCTTAGCTTGCCTATTGAGTAGAGATCTCTTTGATACCATTGTGCTGTGGGTTTATTTTTAGAGAAATAATTGTAGTTTAGATGAAGCCCATGCTCTTTTATTCCTCTTAAATCTTAATTTCTTATATTCTGTATAACCTCCTGCCCCCATCCTTTAGCATCTTTATCACAAGCAATGCATTTTAGTTTGCAGATTTTCAGAGAGCAGAAGGTATATGTTCCCAGCCAGGCCATAGGTTTATGGCTGGCTTCATGTTGTTACAATTTCTCAATTGGAACAAATAGCCTTCATAAATCTCTGTGTTCATTTCTAAATCCACTTCTTGCCCTGAATACCAGACGGTGTCAGACATCTTTCCCAGCACCAGGTTCTGGTTGCACCAGGAACTTCTATTTATTTAATTATTCATTCATTCATTCATTCATTCACTCATTCATTTTTAACCACACACACTTCCAGCCATGTCTATGGCTATATTTGTCTTTGGAGCTGGCTTGTTCCTTTGGGTACTATTTAAAGGTAATGAGTTGATAAAAGATAGAGTAGTGGGTCAGAAGTTAGAAAGAAAGGGACAATTATAGAAAACACCCACCAGATCAAACAGTTTTTAACAGAAGGCACAAACCCTTTGAATTTGCTATCTTTCTCAGGACCTCTCAAAAATGAAATTCATAGTTTGTGAGATGGTCTTGTGCATCTTTGATGATATTTCAGCACTAATGTTACAAGGAAAACAAGCATGATCATACTGGTTGGGTGGCTATAATGTCATTTAATATATTGGTACACAAGTAAAATCGTTCTAGAAGGTATCTGAAAGGATGGTTCCTCTTAACACTACAGCATTTATTTTTGCTTCTGTTTATATCAAGTGTTCATTGTCCTGGATCTCTCAGTATTAGGTTACTTTGAGGACGGCAAAATCAGAAAGAGAATCCTTCCAAGTTATAGGTACCAAATGACTAGAGTATTGCTGTCGTAAAACTCTGAAAGGTCAGAATCCCTAAAATACTCAAGAAGAATCTACTTTCTCAGTTCTAGCCCATTAACATGGCTACTGAGTCGACACAGTCCGTGAATGACTCGCATTGAGGGTGGCAACAGTCCCTCTTGTAGCTTATGTAACCTGTTACTTAGATTAAAATCCTCAAAATCTAATAGAGGATATCGAATGTTTGCCCTTGTCTCTCAAATCCATTAATAACCAGACTTCAGTACCTTTTTTTTCTATTCGATCTACAAAATAACATTGGAATAATGATTTAAATTAGCTGCATTAGGTCCCGCCCTCATTTTTGTTTAGAAGCACCGACACATGTTTTGTCCATGGCATGTTACCGGCAGCCCGAGTTCTGTGCAAGGGCTACTAGACTAGGCCAATGTCATATCCAATCTAGCAGCACATATATCCTTGTCTTTATAAAAGGCTTTAACCCTGCCTTGAACAATAAAAAAGCACTTGTGAACTGACCACAGAATTTTTCCATCTTTATTTTTCTTACTTGTTTACTTTTCTTAATGTCAGAATCATTTGTATCATACGCAGGAATGTCTCCCTCAATGCGAGCTTTGGAGGCAAAAAATATTTTTGGAGTGAGTTATTGACCACATTGTTTCCCTGTCTTTGGGTTGTTTATTTTCTCCCAAAATGGTGTAATAACTTTAATTAAGATTAGCTTTAATTATAATTTACGTAAAGGCCATCACTACGGTATATTTATCTTAATGATAGAATTATAGTGAGTTTGGTTTCTCTTAAAAAGGGATAACGATAATGAATTAGTGTTGGGTTGCTTACAATTCCATCGTTTGTTAAGCAAGATTTGCTGTGCTGAAGTTGGACTTGGGTCTGCATTGGAAATGGAGGAAGCAATGTTGCATGCTTATCTTAAATTCGTAGGAATGTCCCCAAACTTTTTTTTTCTAAGTAGAGAACTAGAAAGTAAGAAATTCAAAGTTTATACATATTTTATATCCCTTTTCTCCCCCTGGATCTTTCTCCCTTTTCTACTGAACTTTTTTCTTTGGGAATCGTGGTGTCCCCGTGTTCTTTCTCCCAGGATGCTGATCCGATTTGAGAGCCTCCTGCAATCAAAAACCATCATGGAGTCTGTTGCTTCAGCAAAGTCAGGGCGGACTGTGTCTTTCCTAAGTAATGTTATTTTATAGAACAATTTGTTCCTTGGGGAATAATGTTTTAGATTGTAGGGAATCCTATTAAAAGTACAACTATTATAATCATTTGCTTTTACTTTTACAAGCCTTGCTCATAAACCTTCCATCTGTTTGTTGCTTTAAATAGAGGCACATTATAAGAGATTATCACTTGATCAGGCTGCACGTCTGAGTGTTGTGCATTTTCACATATTCATGTATACTAAGGAATAAAAGAAAGCAAACCACACGTTCTGGTTGAAAAGACTTTTCATTTGTTTTTTGTTTGTTTTGTCTGTGTGCGTGTGTGTGTTCTCCAATAGAGATGTATCATGCACATTTTCAAGGAAAAATGTCTTTCTTGCTGCTTCTAAGAAATAACTTGGCTGTCTTTCTCTTCTTTGTTAATATGCAGATCAAAAACAATCCACAGGGCTCTTTTCATCAAAACAATAGCAGCATTCAGTAGTTGCTACTCACTAGAGCAGCCTAAGTCAGATCTGCGTCACTGCCCGATGCCCAGTGTGGACAACATAGGGTCCATTGAGACTCTTCCATGTTACCCATCCATCACGGCTGATCCAATGTGACATTCACCATCTGCTTCTCCCAATCCTGTTTCTGAGAGGAGGGCTTCACCAGAGAAGGCTGTTACCATTATTTGATTCTGGTCTCTCCAACTTGTCTAAATACCATGCTGCAAACTACTGTGACTAAGACTTGGAAAGAGAACTGAGACCAGAGGAACACAGAACATGTTGATGACATGTTTTGTGACAAACAGACCATCAGCTTTTGGTGGAGTACTGTATGTTACTTTGAATGCATTAGCAAACACTTGAGGGATTTCAAGAACCATTAAATTACACAGACACCTGTCCAAAAATGTTGTCTTCCTTTAAGTTTACCTGAAATTTTCCAGTATTAGTAGTTCTCTCTTGGATAATATTAATTCTAAATATTAATTGTTCACTTTGTGAATAGGATAGGTAATAAGTTATGTTATTTGTATGCATTTACATATTAACATATGCTTATTTTTGTAAAGTAGCATGGAATGTGGCCTGGAGAACACAAAGCCTAGGAAAGGGGATTTGTGCTAAGAAAGAAAAGAGAAAATTCTAAGTATGGAATGTATTGAGGACAAGTTGCTAAAGTAGGGATGATATAAATGGTAATAAATTTAATTATGCCATAGGAGGGCATGAAGCAGAATTAATGTATGGTCTTGGTGGATAGGGATAAATAGAGAGCTAAGGGAATAATGAGAAAGGAAGAGAAAAGACAGTTTTCTGCCAATAAGAAGGGTTGCTAATATTCAGCACTAAAGTGGTATTTAGCAATATTTTCTCCTCAAAATGGAATCATCTTTGATATAAGTGAAGAGTACCACCATTTAGTAATGGTTTACAAGTTTCTCTGCACAAGATGATTAAACAGTGAGGAAAAGATGGATCACAAAGTGCTGTGGGAATAAATGGTCATATGTGTGATGGCTACACATGGAGAACAATGACTATGGCTTGTGCCTAATAGTCCACAAACAATATTCCTAGGGTAATTTCCCAAGCTGATGGATCAGCTGAAAGATAAGGGGGAAAACCAGAGTCCTTCCAAGACCTTACATGGCTCTAGTTAAGTGTCCCAACAGCTGTGAGAGTGAAGAAACCATGGATGCCAGTATCAACCCTCTCTTTCTCTCATACTCTCTGCTTCAGTCGCGCTGGTCTACAGTGAGCACACTGTGGTTCTGGGTTTTGTATTTGCAATTTAGGTCTTTGCTCAAATGTCACCTCATTAGAGAAGCCTTTTCAGACCATGCTATCTAAAGCACCACATGCATGCACACGTGTGCGTGCGTGCGCACGCACACACACACACCACCCATTACACTCCATTTACCTTGCTTTGTTTTCCTCGGTTAACACCACATGACATATTACATATTTATTTGTTTTGTCATTTATTGTCCAAACAAAGGGAAGGACTTGTTCTGTTCTGAGCCTAAAGGGTGCCTTGCATGTAGCAGGCACTCTATAAATAATTGTTTTATGAATGAATGAAAGAATGATTTCAGTTCACAGAGGTCTATTAGGCTATGTTTACAGACATACGGTTGCACATTAAACAGTGAGTCTTTTATCAAAGGAATTTTCATTTGAAAAATTTCTACCTCCTTTTTTTTAATAACCTGGATCAAGCAACAAACTACTTCATCCATTTTAAGAACAATGTACAGTTTGGAAGCATAAGGCAATGAAAATTGGTTAAGATTGAAACAAGAAAGGAAAATGAATGTCAAGAAACATACTGACAAGATGATATGCGATTTGACCTTTAATGGATTTGAGAAGCTATGTCAGCTTTACAGGACATTTTTCTTCAGTTTCATTCCATACATCCGGTAGGCTGTATGGATTTGGTTGTGGACACACCTAGTAGGCATTCTGCATCATAGACTGCTTGTATGGAAGTGGAAGCTCTTCTCTTTCATTCAGTTAAAAATTTTTAAACAAAAGTCTAATCTTTATTGTAATGAT